GTCATGACCAACAAATTACCGTCACACAAGTCCCCCGAATCTAACGCCTGTACAACCCAGAACTCTGGGTCCGCCGTCCCGACATGAAATTCAGCGGCATCTGCTTCGGCCACCAGCTCCTCTCCCGTCTCCTAGGCGCGGAAGTAGGCCCCAACCCCACCGAGAAGTGGGAGCTGGCGCACAGCAGGATCGACCTGGCCGAAGTCGGCCAGCGTCTCTTCCGGACGGACAAGGACCACCTGACCCTGCACCAGATGCACCAGGACCACGTCGCCACGACGCCGACGGTGGAGGGTAGCAAGGGTCTCCTCGCGCCCGGTACCAAGGTGCATGTTTGGGGCAGCAGCGGTCATACGGCGATACAAGGGCTGTACATCAGAAACAGACTGTTTACCAGTCAGGCCCATGTGGGTTTCGATGCTGATATGGTTAAGCATGAAATTGATATGAGGGTCAAGAATGGTGCTATTCAGGATAAGGACCATGTCAACCAGGCAGAGGAGACGGCCAGCTTTGAGCATGATGGTGAGGTTGTTGCGAGGGCGATATTGCGTTTCTTTTACGGGGAGGATGAGGGTATAGAGTGAAAGGGCCTCAAGTAACTAGCCAGGGTCAGCTGGTTAGTTCCGGGCTAGATACCAACAGTGACATGGACTAGAACATATAACGACAGTCTAGATAGCGCCGTTTTCATTCCCTTCATTTCTTGCCTTTTTTGGTGTTTGATACTCAATTAAGCTCTTCCTCAGAGAGAAAGGTAATTAGTGTGGAAGGTGGAATCCAGTCACTCCATCTTGTGGTGCTCAGTAGTGCTCTCAGAGGTATGTGGAATGTGATCTTAACGACAGGTCACGTCCACATGGACATATCACGTCTGAAGTCGCTAGATAGCTCAACTCCGTCGTGTTGCCTCGCATAGTGCATTATCAGATCCCGTATCCATATCTCGCACTCCTTACACCTGAAGGAGCTCTCCTATACAGCCCAGGAGACATTGCAATGCAGTGGCATTATTATGAGACACACCCAGTATTTGTATGTTCATATCCGTCTGTGCAGTGTACAAAGAATACATATTCACCACTTGATTGGATTATGGCTGTCATGTTGGTGCTGGTTCGTCTGTGACAAACGCTGGACGGATACACTTGCATATCCTTCTGCGAGAACCACCTTCTCTATGCAGACTTCTAGAAGAGCGGTTGTGCTCTGCTGAAGGCCGTAGTATGAGTATACAAATTCAAGAAAAGTTGGTCGTCCATGTAAGAACCAATCATGATCACGCCATCTATAAGATACTGCCTTCAGATCTCACAGCTTCTCACAGGGCTTCGGAACATCCGTACCGAGAGATCATCCTAAGCGGACGAAACGGGCATCGTAAGATATCTTCCGTGACCTTGAACCGATTACAGACCCGGCGCGGCGGTTCCACGAATACGAAGAACAACCTAGTAATCGTCGAAGAGACAGAACATCATTCGTGCTCTTCAAACAGGAAGGTCGAGTAGAGTGCCAAACAGGTCAGCTGGAAGGGTAGTCAGTGTTGTGCCGGAAGTGTAACATGATACAGCATGATGCCCGACATGCAAGCATATCAGATCTCACAAGATGTTTTCGCTTCGATAAGACATGCAGTGGGATGGATGAAATCCATGATATATCGGCCACCCTACACCTCGTAAACAATTACAGAGAGAGGTAGAAGAATATCCTTGGGAAAGACTGGCGAATATCTCATCCCTTAAGACATTCAATTTGACAACGGAACTGGTGCTGAGACTGATCAATAGGTCAATACACTATTAAGCCATACACTCATTGTTGCTCCACCTGGCAGTGTGTGCATGATTATCATATGTTGAGATGTCATTGTAAGACAGCTGTCTAACCTTGTGGTCGCTGTCGGTAAGCGACTTACACGACTTCGGACATGTTTGATACCACAAAACATTTCGCATCGAGGATTCCACAGCGCACAACCGGCAGCGTCCAGTCCCTCTTAGTATAACAGCCTGTAGAACCGCACCACCGGGAGGGGATTTCACATGATACAGGTCCGCCGACCAAATGGAGCGGCCGTGGCTTGCGAACCGAGCAGTCCTCATGACGCAGCTCCGGCCCCTGCAATAGGCCGGCCTAAGTAAGACGGCGGTGCTGGATGATCTGCTAGAAGCTAAGTCCCAGCAGCTGCAGCCCCGAACTCCGATCACGGGCCGCTGCGCCAATCAGAATTGGGTCGAACGGCAGTTGGTGCTAGGCGTGCAGGCTGCCGCTGCAATCATCAAATGATGGGAGTGTTCATGACGGGAAACAAGGCATCTGGCAGACTGACCGCCTGCAAATTACTGTATTCGTGAAAGACTCTTGCTGAAAGAGAGGCCCCCAGCTGCATTAGGTTCCAGGCTGATAGCTGCCTGGCGACCGCGCTGATAGGCTCAAATCCCGCACTCAAAGGCAGCAATTCTGTGCGCTTGCATTGCAGTGCATACGAAATAAGCGCCCAGCCTCTCACGTCCTCCTGTTTGGGCCTAGGGCTGTGCGTCACTTGAGGCCAAGAAGGAAAAATCGAACAGGCAGAGCTATACCGTGAAGCATGACATGTCCAAAAGTATATAGGGTCGCTCCCGCCGGGAAGCTCTTCGGATGTAAAGACATCCGCAAAGCAGGTCATTGCTCACCTACCGTAACTTGTCGTTTGTGTATGTTGTGGCCTCCAACAGGCAATAGCAGCAAATACGTCCGCTTTCTCCAGGGTACTAGGAGCCTAGCGCCTGTGACTTGTTAACATTCGTTCAAGATCACAGCCAGCTCACCTAAGCTCCCAAGTGAGCAATGAGTGGCTTTCTCCAGTTCGCCCGCACTTCCGTTCTGGGTGCATCGTCGAACAGCAGTTCCATGCAAGACTTCTTAGACGCGACTCCAGGCCTAGGCTCCGTCCAGACCCTTCTGCAGTCATGGCTGAGACTAGATCTTGCCACGCTGGCCGCCGTCTTGACCATCACGGGTACCATCTCATCCACCTTCCGGACCGTTGGCGATATCGCACTCAAGGTCTACTGGTGGATCACAAGGTTCTTTACGGCTTCCATCTCCATCCCCGCAAATGACAGGCTCAACCGCGAGATCCTCAACTGGGTGGGCGCCAAGGTCCTCGAGCGCCAGGGCACCCGAATCCTGACTGCTGGCACCGAAGCGGTGGAGACAGACGCCTGGCACTACCGGCGATTCACGGTGGAACGAAACGACTACCATCACGAAAAGCGCATGCCGATCAAGTACCTCCCGACCTTTGGCATCACCTGGTTTCTCAACGAGGGCAACATCTTCCTCGTGAAACGCGTCCCCACAAGCAGCAGCATCATGTCATCAAGCTTCTACGTGCCGGACGAGTACGCAGCCGCGCCGACCGGCAGCGAGCCGCTGGTAGTCATGTGCCTCGGCCGCTCCGTGATCCCGATCAAGCGCTTCCTAGACCAGTGCCGGGACTTCGCCGAGAAGCAGCGCGAGGCCTTCGTCACAGTCCGCACCTCCAAGTCTGAATACCCGGCAGAAGCACGCTGGGATATGACGATCCTGCGACCCATCCGCCCGCTGTCGACGGTGCACTTCGACGAGGCGACCAAGACCGAGCTCGTGGCCGACATCACCAACTACCTCGACAAAAACACCCGCCGCTTCTACACGGCTCGCGGCATCCCGTATCGCCGGGGCTATCTCCTCCACGGCCCTCCCGGAACGGGCAAGACGTCGCTGTCTCTTGCCTTGGCGGGTATCTTCGGCCTGGAGCTCTATCTGCTACACATGCCCAGCATCGAAGACGATGGCCACCTCGAGCGCCTCTTCACGGCGCTCCCGCCGCGGTGCATCGTTCTCCTGGAGGACATCGACGCCGTCGGCATCAGGCGCCGCGGCGCTAGATCCCCCGACGGCGAAGATGACGATGACGAAGAGGAAGAGGAAGACAACCACCGGTATCGTGGACGGCAGAAGCTGACGCTGTCGGGTCTCCTCAACGTCCTGGACGGTGTAGCCTCCCAGGAAGGACGAATCGTGCTGATGACGTCCAACTTCGCCGAGAAGCTGGACCGCGCCCTGGTGCGGCCCGGCCGCATCGACAAGATGATCTTCCTGGGCAACATCTCGCCCCGCAGCGCCGAGCTGATGTTCCTGCGCATGTACGCGCCCGAATCCGAGAGCGACACCCCAGCCATAGCGGGGGAGAAACACCCTTCAGACTGCGACGCAGATCATCTGCAGAAGCTTGCGCTGGGTTTCGCGGGTAGTATACCGGACGACACCTTCACACCGGCTCAGCTGCAGGGCTTCCTCCTCGCGTACCGCAACGCGCCCGCCAAGGCGGTGGCAGACATTGCCGCCTGGGTCAAGCGCGAGAAGGCGACGCTCGACGAGGCGGCGCAGCGCGCCAAGCGGTGGGCTGAGCGGAGGAAGGCGCGAAGGAGGGAGAAGAGGCTGATGAAGAGCGTGGCACAGACGCTGAGTGGCAGTGACCGCGATGAGCAGGCCGAGAAGATCAAGTCGCAATTTGTCATGGCAATGAAGACGAAGGATGATGCGACGGTGACGAAAGAAAAGGCTGGGGGCGAGTCCGATGCAGATGCGGAGGGTGAAAATGAGGGTGTTTCAGAGGGTAAGGCGAAGTCGAATGATGGGATGAGTAGTCCGGAGGAGTTGGAGATGGTTTCGGAAGGGGAGAAGGAGGGGAGGAAGCCTTGATGTACGCAAACACTCGTCAAAGGTAGTGGTACGGCCGTTTTAGCTTTGAGGACGGAAATCAATCGGCTATGTCAATTCACTTACCAGCTCTATCAGTCCAAGTAGGTGGTTGTAATAGTAATGGAAGCTGTTATCAAAATGATACCGAAGACATGAGTTTGTTTTGGAGGGGATACTGGGCTCCACACATATCTAATGGCCTGGGCGTTGCGCTAGAGCGCATCATCATAAGTTGGAATAAACCTTGCGACTACTGTTCTGTGGGCCGCGTGGCCTAATGGCTAAGGCGCCAGATTTCGGCTCAAGTCAGACTCTGGAGATTCCATGTTCGAATCATGGTGCGGTCGTGAACATTTTTTTTTGCATTTGCTACTGGAACTACCCGGGCGATATAGGATACTTAACAGATTACAATACAGTGGCCGTAGAGACAAGTCACTTTTCTCAGTTGACCCCGAGTGTGGGAACGCTAGGGCTAAGATGGCAATGGGAGCATTCGCATACTGTCTCGGTGTTTACTATTGTAACGCTTGTGAGTGGTTGCGGCTATGATGACGTACTCAGACACGTATATATATCTAGTTAGCTATCGACTCCCAGTGTGATTTACGATCCAAGAATGTTTCCGATCACGAACGCAGCGCGGGGCGTACTTGACAAGTACAGACCGTAATGCTCTTGGACCGGAGAGTGAAGAGGTTACCTCGACATCCTGAGCTGCAGATCAGGTTGAGATGCTTTTTCAGGTTGTTCGAGAGTGTCCAAATTCACAGACAGAGACCTTGCTATTCTGCAACATGTGCGCTCATCGCATCCGTTTACCATTTAGGGCGTTTAGTACGAGATAAAAGCGGCCCCAAGTCTCTATGTGGAACTAGGTACATCGTCACTAGGTAGGCATCATACAAATACGTCAGTGTCTTTATAAACATTGCCATGTCTTCCAGTAATGCACTCATTTGCCAGTATGCTTATACATAATCCGAGAGCCCAAGTGTCCCAGGTCGAAGAACGCATTCAGTATCAGGCATTCCTAAGAGGCTTGAGGGTTAAGATATGACAGTGGACTTTGTTAGGAGGGATCCAGGAATACATTTCGGGCAAAGAGTCGAATCCACGAGATTGACCATTTCTCTAAGGCACAATGCTACCAGTCACTCCTGTTCAGTTCCTTCACACCGTCATTGCCTTAGGTCGTACGACCGAGGCAGGATAGCAGCAAAAGAGAGCCTGCGCATCTAAAGTCACATTGACGCACAGAAGCCTGGCTAAGCGGGAAAACACACTGGATATTGGACCATCGCAAAGGTATAGTCGTTCCTAACGGCACTGGGTCAACCACTACCACTCATCGACATGGCTATGGAGAAGCAAGTCTCAACACTTCCCCATCGCATTTGTGCTAGGGAATACTTACTATTTTGTTATAGATCTTGCACTAGTCAAACAATGTTCATCGTTGCATGGTCCTGTCCGCAACTGCTGCCCAGGTTCAACTTCGCCTTTGCAGAGCTGGCACTGGAGCGAGGAAGGGACTGTGGTGACAACGAGTACAATGATGAGGAGGTGGGCTGCTCATACCCCAACGATGAGAGCACTTGGTCATGCGATTCTTGGTTCATCCGGGAAACAGACGACTACGAACGGTTACGACGCAAATTGTGATAGTACACGGATGCTGTGTATACTCTTGGCGGCGGCGACGACACCACCACAGACTGAGCTGAAGGATATACTCCTTAGCTGCGGCGCACGCGGCGGACACGACGGCCTCAAGGTCATGACGATCGATCTGGCACGCACAGTACGGCTGCATACAAGTCACGCTCGGAGCGATTGCCCGATGGATTTCTCGCCCAAACTGTCGTTACGGCAGGTTAGGGGACATGAATGCTTGAGCTCTAGAATCCAGAGGTTTACAGGGAAGATTCGTGTGATGCTGTATGACGTATCGCTCTACGGACACGCAAATTGCTGGAGTCCCCGATCATGCCAAGCCAATTTCACCAAAGTAACGAAGTCTATTATGGTATTGCGGCCTGGATGTTAAGAGGCCTGGCGATCCTCAGCACTGGAAACATGGCGCGATACTTTGGCGGCGCCGTTGGTGGTGCGCCCGCTATAACCGGAACCGCGGGTGGGGTTGCTGAGTCATCAATCGCCTAACGGTCGTGCCCGCATATTCTTCAACTCTTCACATCGGTGCCTTATAATGCAGTACTGATGCTACCCGGATCCGGCAATTAGACTATCAGTTTCATCGCAGCCTTACAGCCGTGATAACATCATAAGATTTCCCAGCCTCTTCAATTTGGACATGACGCAAACGGGCAGTTTTGGAAAAAGTCTATCAACATGCTGACCTCCGAAGCTTATCTAAATTGCTGCTTCCGGCTACCAATTAAACTTCAGGCGGCCCCTTGGAAAGCCCGTGCCCAGCGCTAGGATCTCTTCAATCAAGCCACGGCAGGGACATGGGGTTGATGCAACTGTAATCAATGCGGTCGAGGATCGCGTCTGGTCAGCACCAGGCCACGAGTCACGGCACTTCATCGTGAAGACGAAAGCGTACAATAATGGTCTCGTTGCGGCTCGCTGTTCTTGCTTGGGTCGATAATGGCATCTTTGCGCCTTATCCACTGTCTCCTGTAGTATCACATTTTCTTTCGTGAAGAGTTCACGGTAGAATCACGCCTGTTACACCAAAGCAGGCCACGAGGATCGCATCTTGGCAATCAACATGGCATCGATGGACGGCGCGTTCAATCTGGCGGCACAATGCAGACTCGCTCTTCACATTGGGCTTTCGATTGTCTGTCTGCTGCTTCTTTGGGCGCTCTGGTCATACTTGAGCTCTCCATTAAAAACATATCCGGGTCCATTTCTGGCCAGTAAGAACTTTGCCGACAGTGTTACACAACATCTTGTCCGACGTTGCTCAGCTAACGCCTTCCTCTCGTCGCAGAATGGACAAATTTCTGGAGACTGTACCATATCTCCCGAGGGGACTTTCACATTGTCCTTGAGAGACTGCACCGGCAGTATGGTCCTGTGGTGCGGATCGGCCCGAACGTCCTGGACCTCGATGCACCTGGGGTCATAAAGACGGTATTCAACACAAAGGGGGACTGGAAAAAGGTACGAATACGAGAGCCTCATACACAAACTTGTATCATGTGCCAAGGGGCTCACCGTGCTGCTTGCTAGACCGACTACTACCATCCGAGCAGCGTCATGGTGGACGGCAAGAACGTTTATAACCTCTTCAGCCAGACAGACCCAAAGAAGCATGCGCAGGAGAGAAGGCCTATAGCGAGGTACTATTCGGTCAACAGCGTCCTCACTCTGGAGCCGCACATGGACAAGGTCCTCAATCACCTATGCCACCAGCTCGAGACCCAGTTCGTCGATGGCAACCACAGCGACAGAACATGCGATCTCGGCGACTGGATCTTGTACTGTACGTCGTCTTCTGTTGTCTCCAGGTGAACCCGTTCCTCTCACTGACATCTCGCAGACACCTGGGACGTCGTCGGTGCTGTGACCTTCACACAACCACTCGGCTATCTCGAAAAAGGCAAAGACTTCGACGGCACCCTCCGAGCGTCCGAAAAGGCCATGGACTACTTCTCCGCTATCGGCTGCGTGCCGATTCTGGACAAGTTTCTCGCCAAGAACCCGTACATCAAGGTCACTCTCCCAGGTTTCGACAACATCCCCAACATCTGCATGCAACGCATGACGGCCCGGTTCCAAGGCACTGATTATGCCGTCCATAACCCGAGCCATCCGGACTTTCTGGACATGTTCATCGAGGCCAAGAAGACCAGTCTCGACACGGTCAGCAACGATCAGATTGTGGCCTGGCTCATGATTAACCTGATCGCTGGGGCCGATACCACGGCCATCACCATCCGCTCGGCTCTATACTTCTGCCTCAAACATCCGAGCATCTGGGAGCGACTTCGGAGCGAGCTTGCTGCCGCTGGCATAACCAAAGCCAGCTGTCCAGTCCCATACAGAACCTGCAGACACATCCCCTATCTCGAAGCTGTCGTCCGCGAGGCCCTACGCATGCTGCCAGGCGTATCGCTGCCACTAGAGCGCTACGTCCCGCCTGGTGGCTTCCAACTTGCGGACGGACGCTTCATCCCCGAAGGAGCAACTGTCGGTATAAACCCGTATATCATCGCGCGAAACCAGTCGGTGTGGGGCGCAGACGCGGACATGTTCCGCCCGGAGCGATGGCTGCGCGACGAAGCTGGTGGCGAGACGGAAGGCGCGTTTAGACGTCGGTTGCAGACGATGAACGACGCAGACCTGTCTTTTGGCGGTGGGAGCCGCGTCTGTATCGGCAAGAACTTGGGGCTCGTCCAGGTGTACAAGGTAGTCGCGACGATCGCGACGTTGTACGATATCGAGCTTGCTGAGCCGAAGAAGGAGTGGAAGGTCGTTAACAGCTGGTTCCCCAGGCAGAAGGGGCTCGACGTCAGGATTTCGAGGAGGACCAGCAAGAGTGCTTGATATCACTATGAAGGCAAGAGGGTTTTGGTTACTACATGCTGCCTCGTCAGTCGGCGCTGAGCACTGACACAGTCCCACCTAAGGCTGGTAAACCCACATCGAAGTTTGATACCCGGAAGGATTTCCTCGAATAACACTCTAGATCTCACACCCGACCACAATCAATCACACAGCATTTCGTCGAAACACAACTGTTCTTGTTTGTCTTGTTTTTCTCTGTCGCGCCTGGTTTTGGATGCGGCGCTTTACTTTTTCCTGTACCTCCTGCGGAAGCTTGTTTTGCCAATGTTTCTTCTGGGACGTTAACAGTTCGAGTCTCTGTTCACGTCGCTCTCGGGTTCGTGCTCGCTATGCACTACGACTTCGACATGTATCAATTGCTTAGCTGAAGATGGCCATTCATGTTGTTTGTATTGGCAGTACGAGCGGTGGTGGTGGCAGCAGGCGAGAGCAGAGGTGGAAGGCCCTTAGGTGCGCTTCATGTGGTGTCTGACACTGGATGGTCAGGGGTTGGCAGACAGTGTCGAACGGGCCAGCTTGGGCACTTGGTGCCTCTGGGCGACAAATTGTGCGATTTAGTCCGGAAGAACCAGCTGCCAAGGGCCTGTGTACTTTGGATCATATGGTATGTTGCTGGCGAGGCGGTACGGCTTCAGCGTCTGAAGCTATGGTAGTAAGCGCCGATGCTGTCGCAGGACGGGCCCACCCGAGTTGTTGGGCAGCGTAATGCTGAGCAATTTGATGTTTGAATATATAATATCTAATGAGATTTGGGCAAGGCATCACTCACCTGGCATTCTTCTTCTCGCAGTCGAGAGACCTT